TTATTTTCATAAAGCTTATGTAATTGATTTTTGGGTTTTGGTTTTTATTGCTTGAAATTAGTTTATTTTGTATCAAAATCATGTTTTTGATGTTTTAAACTAATAATTTCAGATTATAATTGTTGTTTTAATTTTCAGATTTTGTAATTTTAAACTTAATTTAGTTAAATTGGGATTTTAGGTTCTAATGATCAATTAATTTGGGGATTTTGTTCCTATTGAATTTCTAATGATTAATTAAGCATAAAAACAAATTTTCAGTTTTCCGTAATCAACTTTGATCTCCGTTCTTAATTTTTTTTTAATCACGTTTTATCACGTTTAGATTCTAACTCGTCCGATTTTTACAAAAAGAATAGTATTTTTCGTGTGTAAACGACGTTTTAATCAAATTAAAATACCTTTGGTAGTGAGTACCACCCTCTCGTGGCCAAATTCAGCCTTTAAATATGGTTTTCGGACAGTTTTTGATTTTTAAAGAAGGTTTAATGTTTAAAATAAATTTTCAGATTTTGATAAAGCTTTAAACTTGATGTAATTTTACGAATAAGTATGTATTTTAATGTTTTTATGTACGAAATTTTAAGAATAATATATAAGCTTTTAATTCTAGCAAAAAGGAAGGTTTTAAAGTGTTGTTTAATTGAATTTTGAAGGTTTGATTGAGTTTTTATGAAACTAATTGAATTCTAATTATATATTTCAAGTTTAGATTGTTGTATTCATACATTCTACTATTAAATTAAATTTTCAGATTTTTAATCTTGGTTTTAAAGGTTTTAAATCATGGTTTTATGATGGATTTTTAGGTTTTTAACATACTAACCTACTATATAATGATTATTTCAAGTAGAGATGTTTATGAGGTTGTTTTATATTCTTAAACTAAATTTCCAGATTATAATCCTTACTTTAAAGTTGCTGGAATTTTATGTTATAAGCTATATTTTCATGATTTTAACATATAGACTTATAGTTGAACTATTGAATTATTAACTTTGACTATTGTGAGTAATTTAAAAGCATTATTTCAATGGTTTAAGGGGATTAAAGTAAGTTAGTATTGCTGTAAATTATATTGCTTGGGTATTGATTGAATTATTATTGTTTGGTTTAGGAGAGGACTTTGTAGAAAGCGATTTCTAGTTCCTAAAGTGGCCAACCAACTCCTCAAGGTACGCACAAGGATACGAAAACCTTGACTCTAGAAGTATGTTTAAGGACTTGGAAGACTTAGAATCATGTTAGGAAACTTGTGGATTGGTTGGAATTGTATGGTAGTAAGTTTGATTGGTGAATAATGTGATGATTGGTTTTGTTTCATGTATGAGAATTGCGTATTAATTTATCTTGTAAGCATTATTTATGCATTAACTTGCAAGATGAGCTTAGAGGCAAAGGTACGTGAATATGTGGAATGAATTATTGTATTACTCGTTCATGATTATTGAAGTGGAATGAGTAAAGGGAGAATTAAAGTCTTATAAGATGAGGTTGAAGATTGAGGTGCCTTATGCACTTAAGGTGTTTATACACCGAGGTAGTTAAAGGATTCAACACTAAATATTGTTTGTCACTAATAAATCAAGAATTGAATTAGAAATTTGAATTGTTTGAATGATTGATGCATGGTTGGTTGTATTGTTTTGCATTGAGTCATCACCAAGTTTAAACTGGTAAATCACGTAAAGTGCAAGAAGGATGAGCAATAAAACTCTGGATTTGTGCACATCTAGAGTATTGACAATCAAGGGTTGGGGTTCATAGGGTATTAGCCGTGTACTTTCTAAAGGTCGTCTGATCTACGAGTCTCTTGTTAACAACTGTTTTTTTTAACCTAAAAGGAGTTAGATGAGATCTCATACTAGCTATGGCCACGGAGTCGCGCCCTTCTGCCATTGGATGTTTACCAATGTTTTTGAAAGGAGGCATAGGGTTTTCTTTTATTAATGTTCAGAAATGGAGCATAGGGGACAACCTAGTCTATTGCTTAATCCAATCAATGAATGAAATGAAATGAATTATTGTTAGTAATTAGTGTAGTTGTAGTAATGTTAATAGTTGAGGCATGTGTTAGAGTCAATAATTAAATTGTGTGTGCTGATTTATTTTTAGTAACATGCTAGGGACTCTTTGATATATTTCGTAGCTTGTATGTACTCAGCGTTGCTGATTGCGTGCTTTTGTGTGTCTTTTTCTTGGTCATGGCCTTCGCCATTCAAGGAACCTGTAATGATCCAATTTTTACACTTGTAATATTGGGGAGCAGATTAATCACAGGTTTATACATAATCAGAACTTGCATCAAGGTGGTGGGATTTTGAGTGGAGTGTTGGATGTTTCCATAGTATATTTTATTTCATAAGTTTGGATTTATTTTAACTTTGGTTTGATTAATTTACTACTTTTATTGGGTTTTGAATAAGGGTCGTAATGGTTCCAGCTTGTAAGACTAAATTTGGTTTTGATTTTTGGAATTGAAACTTATTGATAACTAAGTTAGTTTTTCCGCTGCTAAATTCTGAACTAGCCTTAACGTTTGAACACGTGGCGGTAGCACGTCAGTAATTCTCTTGCAAATTGATAAAGGTATTTACAGGTTTTAAAGAGAGAATTATTGGGGTGTTACACAAATAGTTGCAACATGCATGTAGTGTATCAATAACATATACTTCCTTCGTTTTTATTTAGTTGACGTGTTCAATTTAGGCACACATCTTAAGGAGTGGATAGAAAATGATAAAACAAGTGGGGTACACTAAAAAAACAAGGTATAAAACTTACCCAAAAAGGAAACGTGTCAACTAAAAATAAACTTCCTAAAAAGAAATACGTGTCAACTATAAAAAACGAAGGTAAGTATATATAAGACCAGGTGTTTCAAGCTTGACCGAGTTTGAGATCAGCTTCGTCTTTTATTTTATTTTTTATAAAAAAATCTCTTTCTACAAAAATGTAGGTAGCATTTCATATTCGAATATTTTAATAACAATCACATGTCAAAATTGAATAAAACATACCAAAGTTTAATGTACTTGTATATCTTTACTTTAAAATAGGAATATATATGATTTTAAAATAATTTATTACTAAAATATATTATTGGATTGAAATCCCTCAATTTTATTTGTTATGATCTAGTTTTGAGCCGTTATAATGTAACTTACCAAACAAAATTAAAACCAGTTTAGATGGTCTAATATTTCTCAATTTCCATCTTAAGAAAATTAGGTTAACAAAAAGAATAAATTCATACAATTCAAAATAAGAATTAGAAAACAAGTTCAAAAAAATTCAAATGAGCAAATTTTACGCAAAAGAACATATCCTTAAACCCCAATCCGAAGGACAAAGTATGTCCTATGAAATTGCTTTAGACTTTAGTATGCCTTAAGAGTACAGCTTAAGAAAGTGAAGTAGAACATGATGCAAAGCAACTACTACAAACAATTGTAGTCAAACTAGTATTCTATCATAAATCAAAGATTAGAGGAATATCCCCTATTAATTTATATGTATAGTGGAGTAATTGATAATGTGAATACACAAGGACCACCTCAATTAATTTAATATCCAAATCACCAAAAGATAATTGCACCAAAAAATAATCACCAAAAGATAAAAAAAAATTACATAATGTTGTTTGGGGTCCTAGGGAGAATTATAATATGAAAAAATTGCAAATGACTAAAACCAACTTAAGTCATTTTCTTAAAAAAGTTTGAAAGAAGGAAAGAAAAGCTCAAACTCCACCTAAAAATGTGTCATTTTTTACAAGTACATAATAGCATTTTTTATTTTCCCCTTAGACCTTGTCAACTTGTGCAACCAAACGGTCCCTTATTTTCTCACTCTCTTTGATAAGTAACAAACATGACGTAACTATGAACCACCTCCATTCTCTTTGATAAACTGTTGCCAATTGGCTCTATTCTCCCTTGAGGTTGAACTTGAAGGCCCCACATATAAAAATTATTTTATAAAATATTAATATATTTAAAAAAATTTTAAGAGAAAAAAATTGTTGTCTATTTTTATCATTATTCCCCTTGTCTACCTTTTGAAATGAATGCTTTTGTATTCATTTGGGTTTTTTGTTTCTTCTACTATCTTTTAGACTAGTTTGACGTTGGAGCTTTTTGTATTTTGATTCTTATGGTAGCCATGCTATAAAATTACTAGAAATGCTTGGTATTTAGTATGAGTTTATGACTTAAAAACTATTATAAAGTAATGCCGTGATTACAAAAAACAGACATTTTTATATACAAATTCTTTGAGAAATATGATCTGTTTTGACCATCATTTTACCTCAATTTTTTTATGAACGGAATATTTTCATAAATCGATAATAAATTTATGTTTCTGTTCTTGAATATTTTTTTTGTTTATTTTTTACCGGCTCTGAATATATTATTCTTTCAAATCAAAAGTTATCTCAAGCGTTCTTTCTATCATATCAACTCGACCTTCATCATAAAATTATTAGTAAGAAAATTATCTCTCTAACAAAACAAACTTAAGTTTCAATTACTAAAAATAGTTGGACTCACAAGATATTTAATTGTATTTATGTGCATCTTTCTTTGTCCATTGAATTAGTTTCAACTTTTAAGGGACTAAAATGCACTGGTAGTCCACATCAGCCTTACCTTAAATCATAGTAGCATTTTATTTTAAAATTGCAAATTTATTACACTAGCACTAATACTAACATTATTAGTGTCACCTAATATGTGATTATGTCATCCTCAATCCACATCAATCACCATAACCTATGCATTTCAAGCTCATCATGCGCCTAATCAATGTAATATTGAGATCAATAATTAGCGAACAAACAATAATACATTGACTCTAAAGATTAATAACCTGGCCCGTAAATACATGAGGATTAAAATTCTTAGGATCAACCAAACATTTTCCGAATTACCATGTAATAACGGCCTAACCTGATCATTAATTAGAGTATCAAATAATTAAAATAGTGGCACTCATAGTAACTGTGAAATGTACACAAAAGACATAATATAAGTCAAAAAACTGTGCCAAAAAACTTTCACTCTACAATAATTTGCCTCAAAAGTTCTACTACTACTAAATTACAATTTCCTTCTGTCAAAATTACTAGGAGTAAAAATTAAAATTGACAGGTACTAGACAATTGCCAAATCCCAGCTAAAATAGCAATATAAAGACAGAAAGTTTAGGGAGAGTATTTTAGGCTTTAGGCATGTAAACTCGGACTCGTTAACTCACTGAGTCAACCGAGTCGATTCATTTTCATGACCTTCTCCCGGTTCAAAAAATATTTTCTAAACGATTTACGGTTTAACTAACTAATAATTTTTAAGGAGGAAAAAAATTTACACCATAATATATATTAATTTTTTTTTTTCCCTGACTTATTATGTGTTTCATTAATATTTACCCTTCGAACCCGGTTTGGCTCCATATTGCGTCGCGAACCCGGGTCATGTCCCGGCCCTTGAGGGTCCGGCCCACGCCTTCGAAAACCGAGAATGCATTCATTTTCCTACTCCGAGCCAAGTACTCATGGGGCGGTTCGACCGCCGAGTCACCAACCGGGTCATCCTCATCCGAGTCGACACATGACTCGGCTGAGTTGACTCGGAGGATCTTGCTCCAATCAGGCACGTTTACGGGAGCTGACGAGGCCACGTGTCTGGTATCCACACGTGGGCCCCTACTTGCACCCGTGGCACCTCCATATTGGTGCAGTATCCTGCGGCTTGACGGCGGCGCTTTGTCCTCAAATGCCAGGGACAAGCCCCCCACGTGCCTCTCATCCTGGTGGCACGTGACACCCACGTCCACTCGCCTTCGCCCACTCTCCACGGTGGCGCGTGAGTCCCACTCGCGGATGTGGTGGTGGTGATGGTGATTCTCCGAGGTGTCGGCCACCATCGACCAAACATCCTCCTCCCCAAATTCCGATACCTCGGTAACCGTGCCGTTGTCGTGGTAACCATGGTTGTGGTCGTGGCCGTGATCGTAGTAATTATTATAAGTCCCGGTGCCAAGAAGCCGGTCGCTTCGGCTCGAGGTTAATCTCCGGCCTTTGGCCATTAATTACCACTATTTAAATGAATGATTGACAAAAAGTTAACCAAATTATAATATGGTAAAGCTAAAAGATGAGAAAAGAGTTCAATGTAGTTGTAAGTAAAACATAAGTTTGTGTTTGAAGATGAAGCAAGTATATATAGAGATTTTTTAGAAGTACAATTTTATGTAGTGGGTCCCAATAATTTTCATTTCATTTGAATTTAGGATGTATTTATGATGCATTTCAGGTTAAAGGGGAAATTAAAATGGAGGTAGAGAGAGAAAGAGGGAAGAATTAGATTCATGTGATTTGTGTAAAGAGAATGGAACGGAATTGTTTGATTAATTAAAAATTAAAGTATTAGAAATCAAAAATGAAATTAAAATTAAATTGGGAAAGAAATGATTGAGTGATTGAATTATTGTAGAAATGGATGAATAGGATGTGAGTTAATTAGTGATAGTTAAGCGCCTTATTTGGCGCGTGTTGCTACTACTATCATGTTTTGCTCACTGTTTTATTAGATTTATTAGTTGAGATTACTCTATTAGGATTATGTTAACTAAAATTCTTGGTGCAAATCATTTTTTTTTTTTTTTTTATTTTTTTTTTTTTTTTTGTGCGAGAGAGGGGCAAGTTCGGGCGATGTATAATTGTCGTACTATAGATTAATCAATATATTGTCAATTTGGCATCGTTCTTTTACGGATCTTGGGTATATGTAAAATGGTAAAAGGAAAAGTAAAACTAGTTAAATTAGAATTTTTTTAGGATTTGGTAGGACTTAAATTTCATCATCAAGGTTCATTTCAGTATGGAATGGATTTTGCATAACCCTTAATTTTGAGAGGATTTTTAATTCAATTCAAAGTAATAGAGTTAAGTTTGTTAAATCTTGAGAGTGAGGGATAACTCAAGTGGTTAGAGTTCCGATCCTCTTCCGATTCCAGGTGATCTTGGGATCGATTCTCATCACTCGTCCTTGGGGCTCTCTAAACACCAAAAAAAAAAAAACATCAAATGACAATCTAATCGCATTCAAGTTCATGTTTCCATCTTAAGGAAAAAAAAAAAAAACAGAAATAGGTAAAGTAAATCAACCTCCCTATATATCCTGCAATATAATTTCCTTGATTTGGAATTTAATTATTTCTACCTATTCGATAAACTTGGTTCGAACCAAAATAATTAGAAAAAGAAATAAATTAGGCAAAGTTATTACGAAACAAAAAGAGTATCTTTGATGGGATAAAAATTTTACAAAATATCTTACATTAAGATAAGAGCGAGGCTACATTCATTGAAGAAAGATGCTGCAAGTTGAAATTAGCGTAAAACAGAGAGGAATAATTCTAGTTGCTTAATTAGATCATTAAAGGAGTAATTTGCAAGGAGTTTGGTTGGCCTATTTAATAAGAAAAATAAATAATAAAGTATGTAGGGGCTACAAATACAACCTTAAGAAGAAGATGCAAATTGCAAAAAATCAATGATTAGAAGCTGATTTCTTGGATTAGTAACAATTACTACACTAAATTAGGATCAAGTGGCTATCTGAATTTATGGCATGAATTAGTTGTCAAAATTGTTTGTTAGGTTTCCCAATTTTTGTAATATGTTAGTTGAGTAGGTGATAAGCTAACTCGGATATTTTTGTTAGGTTTACCATTTTTCTCTCAATGCGTAATTGCGTATGAATAGAAGTATATAACTACAGTTGTAGCAACCTTTATCTAAGCATACTATATGTCTATATTGTGCCTAAATTCTGTTTGTATTGAACTAAATTTGTAGGCCTTGTAGACTTGTTGCAAGGGCAAGAAAATAAAACAGTTCTGATCAACTTGATTTGATCCGATTTTTTCACATTAGAATAATACATATCGGATATTCATATATTTTTTCGGACTCTGAATTACTTGGTTAAATTTAATTATAAATATAATTTTATTAAAATTAAAATCCTAAGAAGTTGTTGATTAAGAAACTTTAAATTAATTCCAAAATGTCAGATTATTGTGGACAATTAATGTAGTATATTGTATAATATTATCATGTTTGATAGGTTTTTTTAACCTTTGAGAAAATATCCTGAAAGTTTTACTTCCCTATCAAGAAATATCTGAAAACATTGGATAATCCGATCCTATTTTGTGCAATAATAATAAATTTTGGATCTGATACTTATTTTAATGATATCCAATAAGTTGGATTGGATTGTATTGGATATCCAATTTAGCCAGCTCAATGTTGTAATAGCCAACTATATTTAAGCAGCTTATACATGACAAATCTTCATTCTTATATTAGCTAGTCACCAAAAGTTATTAGGCAATCAAAGAATTATGATTTTATTTATGACTACAATCGATTACAATAAACAGGCATTATATATTATTATAATATCCTCAATGAATTGAATTCAGTATTTAAGACGTCATTTTTTTAACCACCAATTTTATAGAGCTAGTTTGCGTTAATAACTAGGGAAATCCATGCATTTTGATGCAAGAAAACCTCAATAATCATTATTGATCAATTCTCTCTTCTGTAATTTAATCCCACTTCAATGTATATTTTTCATATAAACGATAATATTTTTATGCGTCGCACTACGGTATTATTACTAATATTGATTAGCTAATGGTTAATTTGTTACATTAAAAATTCTCTCAATCGAAAGCCATTATAAACAAAATATATTTGTCTGTATTAGATTTGAACTACACAAAAGAACCAAAATAATGTAACATGTGACAAATTCACATTTGTACACAACTAGCAATCTAGTGCATTATAACATGCATGTCAACTCATCACGCATATTATGAAATTCCAAATGCTTAAACTAACTTTGATAACAATCTATACGTTGATGATGAAAATCTTAAATTTAGAAATAAGACGAGCTGAGTAACAACTATCACACCAAGTTTATAGCGTGGTTAGTTTTTACTCTTTTAGGATACCAAGCATGTGTAATTGTATAGACTAATATAGTGTCACAACAAAAATGTTATAAGAACCTTAAAGTCCGGCTCATCAACATGCACAACTTGTTAGGTTCTACAATCCAATACTATTGGTAATGGTACAAACACTAAGGTTTTAGCTACATAAAGATATGAATTGTGTTATTCAAACTTTTTGACAATATTTAATAGTTGAAATAGATTGATCACATATCAATGAACATCAATTCAATAAGAATTTGTGAACTTCGAGTACCTAAAATAGGAATGCCCAAACATAAACTACTCATAAGTTTCAAACACATAAAATGAAAGTTTTCATATATATAAAATTATTCTAGTTAATTTTCCGCTCTGTTTTAAAAAATTCAACTATTTTCATTTTGAGTCATTTTAAAAACTTCGACTAATTCTGCTTTATTTATACTTAAAAATACTCTTTCACTATCTCTCTTATTTTATATTATCCACACTATTACACCTTCATATACCATCTCTCTTATTTTATATTATCCACTTTTTCTCACATTAACCCATATATCCTTTAACTCAACCGAGTATATGATCCCTCTAACTATATATATTCACTTTTTTCTTACCTTTACTTATTATTTCTATGCATTTCTAAATCACTAGTCCACACTTTATATATAGTAAGTGATTGAGTTAATTTTTCAAGTACGAAGGGAGTAGCTTGTTGTACATTTAAGCTTAGATCAACTTACACATCTATACAATACTACATAGTAATTTATACTTTTATAATACTCCGTCCGTCCTTAAATATAGTTCTCCTTTCCATTTTTTGTGATTCTAAATATAATTCTCATTTTCTTTTTTGCCATTTAACGTTCTTTGGAAATCAACTATTTACCAAAAAAAAAAAAAAACAATTCTTTATTAGGTGAAGTGCCAAAAGTAGTGTCCTCTAATTTTTCTTATTCTTTTGCATCATTACTCCACTTGTTTATTTTAATATTTTTCTTATTGAAAAAAGTAAAAAATGTACATTTTTTCTCTCTTTTTTTTTTTTGTAAATGATTATTAATTTAGTTGTCCCATGTCTTTTAGTACTTACTCTTTTCAGTTCTTAATTTCCATGTTATTTTCTAAACAAGAACGATATTTAGAGATGAAGGGAGTACAAATTAGGTTTAAATTTCGAAAAAGAAATTTTTTTGGATGTCGGTTAGATTAGTTGATTTAATTTTTATAACGATAATACTCCATATTCGAAATAACGGAGCAAGATCAATATCGTTACACTTATACATACTCGGACAGTATTTTTCTGATTTGGCTTTATTTACCCCTAAAAAAAAAGGAAAATAAAATGGGCATCATGGAAGGATAAATCATGATTGACCCCACGGGTGGATGTGGATCCCCACATAATTTGACTGCGGCACTCAATTTAAATCCTCTTACTGGGTCCTACAGTCCACGTGGGTAGGGATACATTTTTTAATCTTTCATCAGCCTAACACGTTAGATCATTCTCATAGTGGGCCCCAATATCTTAGTCCTTTTGCATGCCACGTGTTAACATAACCGCCTTTTAAGCTTTCAAACTCCAAAGTAACGGGAATATACAATTTTGAAATTTTTTTTATACAACTTGATGTAAGATGCACTCAAGATTATTTTTATAGTCATCGTTTAATTATCAAAATAAACAAAAAAATACATTGAGTGCCCGTGTAACAGGGTATATATCATAACATTTGGTACAATTTAGGCTCTCAAATGTTAACCATTGTTACATGAGGTTAATAATAGATCTTTGTATGAATGTGATGATGACCGCCTATTAATATTTGTGTATTAACACATACAATCTTAGCATGTTGTACATGTACTAGTAGTATAGAAGTATGGTTACTTGATCGAGGGTAATTTGATGTATGATGATATTATATGATCTGAGTCAAGGTTTCATTAAAGAGTGAAACTTGATTATGGTTGTTGATAAACCGTAATCGACATAATAAAGGTTTTAATTGATGATAAAAAAAATGGCTAAAAATGTAACAATACATACAAGTCGTTAAATAGAGATAGTGAGCTCTCCTTTGGTGGGCACATTGGACGGTTGAGAAAAAGTTAATTAACGGGACCAAGTTGGCATTGTCTATAGTGGTTTCCCTGTCAATGCCTTTTGAAGATGTTTTTGGCACCTTATATATATCTAACTAATCTAACTTCTCCATCTTAGGACTTTATACTTGCCTATCTTGTGGCACTCCCTTAATTAGTTTGATTCTTATGAGACCACTTGATTCATCATTTTACTTTATTGCTTGTGACTCATTGATTATTTTTTTCGTACAGTTTTTTATTTTTTATTTTTTATTTATTTTTTATCGATCTTTATTAGTTTAAGGTCATTTGAGTGATTTTATGCTTTTCATAACGATTCGAAAAATGTTGGGGAAGTGTTTATCGGTAGGAATGGTGACAACAATGGTGGTGAAGTAGGGTGGTTATGGAGGTTTGAATTGGCCTGGTGCCTGGTGGCGGTAGAGGTGGTGATGAGAACAGGATGAGTACATTTGTTATCGTACAGATATGGGTGATGCTTAAAATGAGTGTGATCGTTGTTTATATTAAAAGGTATTATTTATAGGTCTGAATTTGGAGATGATCGTGAAGCAATGCAAGTAGTTAGTGATGATAGAATATTAAGAAGTTAAACCTTATGAGTACGTTTTATATTTAATAATATATCATGCTACATGCATAGAATATAGACATCAGGTGATTTATGATAATAGAACACATAAAAGGATGTATACTGCACATATGAAGTACTCCATAATACATATACATAATCACATCGATCATTCACACAATAGCATAATTGCATGATAACACGTATGAGCAAGATTGAGGACCCCATGCAAATATGCAATGTTTCGACTTACTTAGACTTTAGAGTAGACGTAAGATAATAAGCGTGATGGTTAACAGGACAATGGCCCCATAAATAACGCATAGCCAATATATTATATAAGGCATAGCAGTGAATTATGAAACTATATTATATATGGGACCCATTGATCCAATGGGGTAGGAAGTTTGAGTCATATTATTGGTCTCTTTCTACTTGGTGGGTCCCTCCTTCATGCACTATGATGAACTTGGACGAGGGACCATGTCAAACTTTAGGGATCAAGGAGTATCCAATGATAACATGGCTTAATTTGAAGAATCAATTTGGTACTCTTTCATCATATATTCACCTTACAACCCTTAAAAAATCGAGTTTGATTTTCATTATTTAGAGGGCGTGGTAGAGTTAAATAATAAGTGATTTACGTTTTCACCTTTAGAACAATATACGTTGCGGGGATGTAGGAAACAAGAATGCGAAAACGACAAATAGAGAAAATACATTAATCAACCCGTCAATATAGGGGGTGGGGAGTTATAAAGTTGAAAACGCAAAAATTGAAACAAGTCATTCGTGTTTTAATTTAATTATATTTTTTAGTTATCATTAAAAAAATGTTAAAAAGAGTAAAGTTATTGGTTTATAAACGAAATAAAACAATTATTAAAAATACGAATTTAGATACTATTGAGGACCCAAGGAAAAAATATCTTAATGGTCTTTCAAGCTTAAGTGAAGGTCTCCTAAAGAAGAGTTGTTGATCTTGATCTTTCAAAATTTTGTAAATAAATAATGTGAACCTTGTAAGATCAAGTTTTTGTACATCAAATTCCCCGATCCACAAATAAATAAAATAAAAAAAAGTTATGGTTTTTGTTCATCCAACAATATTTTTAGAATCTTTATTCTCTGATTCTTTTATGTGAGCTTCAGGTTTTTTGTTGTTGTCACAAATTCACACTAGTTATTATATGTCAAAAGATGGAGGAAAATCTGAAATGGTCCAGGAATATGAAGTTTCTAGAAAATTAGCAAGGTTGAGAGGAAAAAGGAAATCCACCACTTATAACTTTATAAGGTAAAGGGACTCTTAATTTAAAAGTCATTTTCACTAATAAAATAAAATTGTTTTGAAATTTCAATTTAAACAATAAAATAAAATTAATTCAACATTCTTATAATAAACACTTTTTCTACTTGTTAAATTCTATCTTAACAATTCTTCATTAGAGTTTGAGTAGGCCGTGACTGTTTAAAAGATTCAATCGAATCATAAACATTAAAAATTATACTCCATATTAAGTAAGGCAGGAAAAATGAAATGTTTTGTATTTTATATTTGCGTGACCTCTTGATCTTTACAACAAAAGTCTAGCTTAAATTTGCGTATGATATCCTAGGTGATTAATTATTAAACATTGACCTAGTCCGTTAAATGTTGCATTGTTAAGATTCCAATTGAAACATTCTAAAATATTTTCAAAAGATAGCTTGTACATTAAACTTCCATGGAATATATTGTCACAGAAGAAGTCTTGTAATTGGAGATAAAGTATATAATTAAGGGTTCCTGAATTAAAAACACGGTATATGAGGTAAAATAAAGCAATATACAATTTTTTGCATGAACTTGGCAATTAATTACGCTTAAACTAGGCCAATTGAGCTTTCCTAGATAGTTCACGAGTATAATAATGTCCATGATTACAAGTACTTCCAAAAATGTTGACAAATTAATGAAAACAACGAATTACAACAAGGTAGAGACCAAGAAAACTGTACTATGGATGCATGTTGTGATGTTTAGAAATACTAATGGCACTAATTTCTTATTTGGGGTAAAGTGAGCCGCAAAGGCAATGATGCAGAAAAAATTCAATACTCCGCCGCCGTAATAGATTTTGGATATATCACCTTTTCAACACTTTCACCATGCTATCAGCTACTTGACATACATATTCACAGATTCTCAAGATTTCTGTAATGTGTTAATACATTAAACTTCATGTTTTCAAACTGACATGGTAACAATTCAAATAATGAAAAAGAAGGAGTTCATATTAAAAACATATTCATAATTTAATTTAATTACTTCACCTAAATTCTCTTAAGGAGTTATTAGAAAGTATGGAATGTGGAGTAATTAGAAACATATTCATAATTTATATAAATTTCTTTCTTACATCATTACTCTTTGTGGTTTTTTATATATATACACCAAATAATACTCCCTCCGTATTTTAATAAGAGGTTGTTTAGTTCACCTGATTTTAGCTGATCTGATCTGATCTGAACTTATTTTTTCTGATCTGATCTGATCTGAACTTATTTTTTCTGATCTGAACTTATTTTTTCTGATCTGATCTGAACTTATTTTTTCTGATTTGACCTTATTTTAATTATTTCAATATTCTACTTTTAATGTTAATCAATATTAATGTTTAGTTATTATTGTTATTATTATTATTATCATTATTATTATTATTATTTAATTTATATTATATTATATTATTATTATTATATGATATTATATGATATTATATTATTATTATTATATTATATTATATTATTATTATATTATATTATTATTATTATTACTATTATTATTATTATTACTATTATATTATATTATATTATATTATTATTATTAAATAATAATAATATCATTATTGTTAATGGAATTGTTTCTAAAATTTCAAAAGGTGAGATTGTTTCTGGAAGATGGAGCAAAGGTGTGATTATTAGATTTCATTTTCCTTTTTTTATTTAAGCTTTTATATTTAACTTGTTTAGGGCGTTTAAGTGTTTTTTTATTCATTTGTTCCTTTATTGAACCTTTTTTTATTCATGCGTGTATGGTTGTGTGGGAATGACACATTGACCCGTTTTAACCCGTCAAAACCCGAATTTAACCCGACCTGAATTCAACCCGACCTATTCCTAAGGTTAGGTGGAGAATCTGGTAGTGAATACATAAACAGACTACTACATGTCCATCCTGATTTATGCAAAGAACAATTGAGATTAGATAGAAACATATTTGTGGATCTTGTTACTTGCATGAAAAATAAAAATTTATTATCGGATGGTCGTTACATATCTGTGGCTGAGCAATTAGGAATATTTTTATATATCATGGCTAAAGACAGTTCTTATCGTGATGCTGCCTGTCGATTTCAGCACTCTATTGCAACAATTGGGTTGTACTTTAAACAAGTACTGGAAGCAATGGTTCATTTGTCAACCGAGATCATAAGACCATACCAAAGTTTGACCGTGGTGCCAAAAAAAATAGGTGACAGCACAAAATATTGGCCATATTTCAAGGTATTAAGAAACGTTATTATTATCTTGCAATGTCATTATATTATTTTATGCATATGCAATATATAATCACTTATAAAATGTATCCTAAATGTTAATGAACTATTAGGATTGTGTTGGAGCATTGGATGGGACTCATATAAATGCAGTTGTAAGCGATGATGATGGTGTGGCACATCGAGGGCGTAAAGGAAAAAAAACATGGAATGTTTTGGCTGCCTGTTCCTTTGATAGGCTTTTCACGTTTATCAACGTTGGATTTGAAGGTAGTGCTCATGATATTACTGTATGGAACCATTGCTTAACTGTACCAGAATTTCGATTTCCCCATCCACCTCCAGGTATAATTTAAAATAGTGTATGTTTTTACTCCATACATGACACTATACTAATATGTTGTATAACTTTATTTTGTAACAGGAAAATATTATCTAGTAGATTCTGGATATCCGAATACCGTTGGATATTTGAGTCCAATAAAAGAAAAAGATATTAGAACCCATTTGCCTGAATTTCGAAATGGTCCACCACCACAAGGCATGCTTGAACTTTTTAATTATCTTCATTCTTCACTTCGAACAACGATCGAGAGATGTTTTGGACAATTAAAAGGTCGATGGAAAATATTGACAATGATGCCACAAATGGACACTAAACATCAATTGGCAATTATGGTTGCTACATTCACACTTCACAATTTTATTCGATTACATGAGTTGGATATACCCATTGATAGTGGTATAGAAATCGAACCAAGAGCAGATTATGATTTGTTTAACGAGAATCGTAAAGCTGTAATGAAAAAAGTACAACTTAATATAGCGAAGGAAATTTGAAACTTCTTGTAATGAAAATTATATTTGTAAACGTTTATGATTTGGAGCTTATAATGAAATTTTAATTATTATCGTTTATTGTTTGTGCTATTTAATAACATAGACAATGTTGCTAGTTCAAACAAACGATAAAATCAAATCCGATACATCATAAATCAATAATAATAATAATAATAATAATAATAATAATAATTTGATCTGAACTTATTTTTTCTGATTTGATCTGAACTTATTTTTTCTGATCTGATCTGATCTGAACTTATTTTTTCGGATCTGAACTTATTTTTCCTGATCTGATCTGATCTGAACTTATTTTTTCTGATCTGATCTGATCTGAACTTATTTTTTCTGAAATAAGTAAAAATAAGGTGAACTAAACATGGCCTAAGTGTTACACTTTAACCGGTACATAGTTTTAGACAATTTAATTGACTTAAATAAAGTAAGAGGTAAGTGGGGTAGTTGGAGTATTAAAAAATTGTAAAAGAAAGATAGTAGGGTAATAGTTTATTGAAAAATAATGGATGTGAGAGGAAAGAAATAATTAAAAAATAATAAAATAATTGTAAAAGGAGAAAGATATAATATTAAAATGAAGTTTTTTTTTCAAAAAAAAGTGTAACACTTATTAAAACACGGCCGGATTTGACAAGTATAACACTTATTAAAATACGGAGGGAGTACTAAATTTAATTAGCACATTTTTTTGATGCTGTTGTGACTCTAAATTTCAAGGAATTTTATTTTATTTTATTTGTTTTTGCGTTTTCACATTTTCTAATTAACTTATTGAAAATGTATTTTCCTATCATTCTTACTGCAATTATGGTTTTTTTGTTCACTTTTTTGTTTCAGTACACTTTATTCACATTTTCGATTCAATAAACTTCATACATACACGTCGAGTTTATAAATCATCCACGAAATAAAACTACTACTGGTCTACTGCAGTTACGAAGTAAATCAAATGTATCTAATAATTTACCTACAAGACTTGCAGCTCACATACAAATGATACAATAGATAAATATATGGAGTACATAGCTTTAATTTAGGTCACTGCACCAATGATACATACACCACTAGCTTAGAGAGTGGAGACCCCCTTTGGCTTGGATGTGTTAGTATTCACGATATATTCTGTGATATATTTTGTGGGAATATTTGGTAGTTATTTGGGGTTATCTTTTATGTTGTTTCTTAATCTCTAGTGACCAATGTTATGGTAATTCTAGGGTTAGTTTTACCTATATATTGTAATCGATTCATTAATGATAAAAAAGCCGTAAGTTCATACAAATTCTACATGGTATCGGAGCCTAGATCAATTTTTTAATTTTAAAATATTTTTTTTTGGTATATCATGGTGGACGGCTGCAAAACACCATCACCATCAATTATTGAGTGCAATAGTGGCCGTGGGTCTGATGCTACATCGCCCAATCATGGTCTTGGTTTGAGTTCTAATTGTCAGTTCTTTACAAATGAACAATGGAAAGGTATTACAGGTTTGGTGGGCAATATCACAATTTTCGAAAATCGTTTGAATAATAAGTTTGATGACATTTTGGATTATTGACACTGGAGCTACACACCACGTTACAGGAGTAAAATCTTGGCTTTTTGACACAAAGAATTTTGAATGTCCTGTTGGGTTACCAAATGGTGAAACAATGTTGACTTTTCTTGTTGGTTCCGTTCATTTGTCGAACAAAATTACTCTAATTGGGGTGCTTTATGTTCCTAATTTGAGTTGTAATTTACTTTCTGTTTCACAGCTTAATGATGAGCTTAATTGTATTGTCCAATTTAACTCTTATATGTGTGCTATACAGGACCAAATGAAGGAGTTGATTAGAACGAGAGCTAGGAGGGACGGATTGTACTATTTTAGCAAATCGACAAGGTCTAATTTGGAGCTTTGGCATCGTCATATGGGTCATCCTTTCGAGAAAGTAGTTAAGTTGCTTCCTACTATTAATTGCAAAGATAGTCTTGATAAGGGGTGTGAAGTATTTATGCATGCTAAACATCCTAGAGATACTTTTCCTTTGAGTGATAATAATGCGTCTAGAATATTTGAGAAAGGTCATTGTGATTTATGTGTCCATATCATCATGTTTCGTCGTGCGGAGCTCGTTATTTTTCGACAATTGTTGATGATTATTCAAGAGCAGTGTGGATATACTTGTTAATTGATAAAACTGAGGTGTTTCGTATGTTTTTGTCGTTTGTTGCTATGTTAGAAAGACAATTTTCTCAAAAAATTAAAGTCGTGCGAAGTGACGATGGTACCGAGTTTAATTGTTTGCTTGATTTTTTTGTTGCAACTGCGATTATTTTTCAAACCTCTTGTGTGGGTATACTACAACAAAACGGGAGGGTAGAGAGAAAACATAAACACATTCTAGAACTAGGGAGAGCTTTGAGATTTCAAGCCAAATTACCGATATATTTTTGGGGTGAGTGTGTTCTTGCTGCGACTCATTTAATTAACCGAACTCCTACTCCTTTGCTTCACAACAAAAATCCCTTCGAAATTCTTTTTAATAAACCTCCTTTATTTAATGCTATACGTACTTTTAGGTGTTTATGTTTCGCTCATAATCAGAAAACAAATGGGGATAAATTTGCAAGTAGGAGTCGAAAGTGTGTTTTTGTGGGTTACCGTTTGGGGAAAAAGGGTGGATATTATATGATCTTGATTTGAAAGTTTTCTTTGTGTCTCGGGATGTTAAGTTTGTTGAAGATGTGTTTCCATTTAGTTCTCCGGAAGATGTTAATATTGAGTCACAAGTGTATGAGTCCAATTATGATATTCATGATGATTTTGTTGAGTATGATTTGTGGGATAATAGTGGTGGCAATGCTGATTTTTTGTTGGGCAATAATACGGGGGAAAATAATGAAAATGTGCCAGCCACCCCTACTCACACAGAGCCCACGCAGCAGGCCCCTGCTCAGCAGCCCACCAGCGGGGAACTTGCGAGTGCTGGCCCAGCAAGATAGTAGCACAACCACGCCACTGGTCAGCCCGATGGAAAACCAGTGGGCGTTGGCGTGCCTAGCAGCCCAGCAGCACAACAGGACCAACTGGCTGGGACTGCCGAGACTAGCAGCACAACAGAAGCAGCTGGCTGGGACTGCCGAGGCTAGCAGCCCGGCACAACAGCAAGCCACGGCACAACCTCCTTTGAGTCGTGGTCTTCGCGATAAAATTCCGTCGGTCAAGCTTCGGGATTATGTGACTCACTCAGTTTTTGCTAATAATCCGTCCTCGTCCACTCCATTTTCCAATTCTCCTTCAGGTACGCCTTACCCTTTAGCACACTTTATAAATTGTGACAAGTATTCTATGAATTACCGTAAGTTTCTTGCAACTGTTGTTAGTGGTCATGATCCGAAATCTTTTAAAGAGGCCATGAAGCATGAAGCTTGGCGACATTCTATGAAGGAAGAAATAAAAGCTTTGGAGGACAATGGAACTTGGACCTTAGAGAATCTTCCACCGGGAAAACGTGCTCTAGGGAGTTAATGGGTATACAAGACAAAATATTTGTCTAATGGTGATGTTGAACGTCTCAAGTCTCGTTTGGTTGTGTTTGGTAATCATCAACAGGAAGGTATAGATTATGGGGAAACATTTGCTCCAGTTGCAAAGATGACTACAGTTCGGGCTTTTCTTGCAATTGCGGCCTCCAAAAACTGCGAACTTCATCAAATGGATGTGCATAATGCCTTTTTACATGGTGATCTTGATAAGGAGGTGTACGTGAAACTTCCTCCTGGATTTGAAAGTTCGGATCCGTCATTGGTATGTCGTTTGAGAAAGTCTTTGTATGGGTTGAAACAAGCACCGAGATGTTGGTTTGCAAAGCTAGTTGCGGCTTTGAAAGGGTACGACTTCTTATAATCTTACTCTAATTATTCTCTTTTTACATATACTAAAGGCAATGTTCAAATTAATGTCTTGGTGTATGTTGATGATCTTATTATTTCTGAGAATCATTCCCTGCACTTGGTAGTTTTAAAGCTTATCTTTGTGATTGTTTCAAAATGAAGGACCTTGGTCCCTTGAAGTATTTTTTGGGCATAGAAGTGGCTCGTAGCTGTGCAGGGATATTTCCTTGCCAACGCAAGTATAATTTGGATATTATTTCTGAAGCAGGTTTGTTGGGGGCAAAACCGAGTGGTTTTCCCATTGAGCAAAACCACAAGCTCGGTCTTGCTACAGGTAAGCTTCTTGCGAATCCGGAGAGTTATTGTAAACTATTGGCCGTTTGATCTACCTTGCGGTCATTAGACCTGATTTGGTGTACTCAGTTCATATCTTGTCTCAGTTTATGCACGAACCTCGCAGTGAACATTGGGAAGCGGCTCTGCGAGTCGTTCGTTATTTGAAACGTACCCCGGGTCAGGGTATTTTGTTGAGTGCAGACAATGATCTAACCTTGCAAGGTTGGTGTGATTCAGATTGGGCGGCTTGTCCTCTTACTCATCGTTCTTTATCAGGTTGGTTGGTGTTTCTTGGACATTCGCCTATTTCTTGAAAGACAATGAAGTAACCCACTGTTTTGAAGTCTTCTTCTAAGGCCGAATATCGGTCTATGGTGGATATCACTTGTGAGTTAAAGTGGCTTAACGCCTTGTTGTTGAGCTTGGGTGTGCAATACCCAAAGGCAATCAAGTTGTTTTGCGATAGTCAGTTTGCTTTGCACATCGCAAATAATCCGATTTTCCATGAAAGAACCAAACACATTGAAGTTGATTGTCATTTCGTTCGAGATGCGATTAATGAAGACTTAATTTCTCCATCACATGTGTCTACTACTTCTCAATTGGCTGATATCTTCAAGAAGGCTCTTGGGAAGTCCCAGTTTGATTATCTTCTCTCCAAGTTAGGCATTTTTGACACTCATGCTCCAACTTGAGGGGGGTATTGAGGATATATTCTGTGATATATTTTGTGGGAATATTTGGTAGTTATTTGGGATTATCTTTTATATTGTTTCCTAATCTCTAGTGACCAATGTTATGGTAATTCTAGGGTTAGCTTTACCTATATATTATAATCGATTCATTAATGATAAAAAAGCCGTAAGTTCATACAAATTCTACAGTTAGTCCAATTCAATCATCTACCTGCCAAACACTGTAATGACTTGTAACTTTCAATCCAATTCACATTTAATTTGGGTCTCTACTTGCTCAATGCAATAATAATAACATTAATAATCAACCCATCATATAATATATGCTTCCCTCAGCAATATGTCCTACCTAAATTAAATTAATGTAACATGGCAAGACAACATTTCGTACCATTATAATTGACATGACTTATATATGTGTTTCGTCTACTTTATAAGTCCTTTCTACATATCACGACCAATGAACATATATAGGATATTATTAATTTTGAAAGGTAAAAAATCATACGATTCATACGAAACTCAAAATTCACCGCTATTATTCATACTAAACTCAAATGTATGTACATACGCATTTTGTAGGATTAATATCTCATTAAGTCATTAACGTAACAATCCAAATTATAATCACCACTAAGCTTATTAGACTAGATTTTAACAAAGGACTAACAAAAATTCTAACAATAGATGATTATGTTGACTTACCAAACCTTTCCCAATCAGCTAATTAATGAAGATTATTTTTTTGTAACAATAGACATATTATAAGGTACAGAGCTATATGATTAAGATAATAGAAGTATATGGGTGGAATCTCTAGACTTTTTTCTTCTTTTATGACTAAACACTTATTACTAATAACAATATAGCCAAATCATAGAATACTAGGAAACTTATTAATAGAATCTTTATCAAAAATAAAATACAATTTAATAAATTTATAAAAATTAAATAAATGCCAAAAAAAATAAAATAAAATAAATGAAGTATAAAGAATGGTGAGGTCCACCATTCGTGTCATGACATTGAGTATGACAACCCAAAATTAACAATTTCGTCACTGATGAGGAAGGACTTTGATGTATACACTTTGTAGTTTGTATTTGGTATAACATTATTAAAATTTTCATATTTTTATGCAATTTTATTGTATGATTTAATTAAGAGTATAGCACAACAGTGTATTATTTAGGGATTATATGATTATATAAAGTATGATATATAGTTGTACAAAGTTAAGGACAAGATCTGAGAACATTTGTGCAAGTTGTGGCTCTATTCAGACCTTAGAATCAGAATCCTAACTGCTATATTATTATTCACTACCCCTTCAAATTCCTGTGGTCCAGCCAGCCATTTTCAACAAATTCAACCCAAATTAAATTGTTAATTATCACTCTTTCTGGCTAATATTGATTCATAACAATTTAATGTACATATTCTTCTGACCAATCTTAATTTTTTTATATACTTGTTGATAATTTGTGTGCGTATATGATCAAGTTAGTTTCAATGTATATACTTAATATTGTTTCACATTCAATGTACGTTTAAGATATTATATGTTTTTGTATCCTGGCTAGCTAGCTGCAGCGGTGGTGATTGGTTTTATGCTGGAACCTTGTTATGAGCTTTTTGTTTAGCCGGGATAACAAAGTATATACAAGTAACATGGCTAATAGCCTAAGAGGCGAGAGGGTTTGGAGGAATGTGTGTATGTATAGTATATTAAGTTTAAGAATAAGTATACATGAATAGTATTATTACACATGCACATTATATAGGCGTCGAAAGCTAGGCATGATTAGCCGATTTTAATTTGTAGCTAGTGAGTGTCTTAAGCAATGCCCTGTATTATTACTCGTATTACTTTTCATGGTTTATACATTTGGCAAGGAAAAAGATGACAATGCAATCTAATTAATTAAGTAGTATATGTAATTATAGATTTTTCAAAGGTATGTATTCTTTTTGTAAGTGATCCATCAACATAGGAAAAGCGTCTCTTTTATTTAGTGTTAAGCATGTGGTTTCATGGTTTACAGATTATGTATAAGTATTTTTATAATCATAATTTATGTTATTTATTAATGAAAATTGTGACGACATTGATATCTTTTAGTACAATATAACTGGTGTACACATTAGAACTTTAGAAGCAAAATTAATAATATAATTAAGATAAGTGGTTAGTGAAGTTGTGTAGGATGGAGCCAAATAAAAAGTTGTCAGGCTAAAAAAAAAAAAAAAAAAAAATTAGGGATGTCATTAGTTGCACAGGCCAATATTTGTAGGCCGGTGCACCATTTGCTATGCCGTTACTCTTAGGAATTGTCGATTATTTGGTCTCCTTTATTATATTTACACATGAAATCATATTATATACTACAAGTATTACTTTTATGTAGTATTGAATTTGATTTTATCATGATTATGTTTAGGAGGATTTAGATAGATGTATAGTAATTATGTGCTTTCAATGGTAATTCATCTTGATGAAGAATTTGTGGAAAAAAAACTTGGCATTTGAGGGCCAACACATTGATGCGATGCAACCTAAGCTAATTACTCGCGTTATTGCTTTCTAGTGCAAGAAGTCTTTGTGCCATGACATGCTTAGCGTGCGCGTGTGCAAGTTATTTCTTGTGTTGGTTCGTGCCTATGTCAAGGTAATAGAAGAATGTTCTATAATGTGATTAGTTATTTCTTGCAATGGTTTGTGCAATCTATGTATTGTGTACCTTAAGACTACTTTCATTGGCAGGAATAATATAACAAGACTAGTAAGATTTTAAATTGCTAAAATACATGCGTTTATTGTGAAATAAAAGGAGTATAACAAAACAGATGTTAGCGAATGAAAATATATAGGTTGATCGGGAAGGGAATCATTCTATTATTGAGACCCAATTAGTTATCTATCTTTAATTTGTATATATTGCTTTTCTCTTGTATTGTCGGATTTGCTTTTCTTTACCTAAAAATTTAAGTTTGAAATAGAAATGTTTTAAGGCGCCTTTTGCTCATTATATGATTGATTAGATCTAAGTGGACTCAAGAAGATAAAATTATTCTCTTCATAATTTGTACCAAAGAATATTCAGTCATGTTACTCTAAAATAATATAGGCTTTTTGATCATGATTTTTGAAACCCCACCAATTAATTTCCCTCATAAAAAGTACCAAGTATATGCTTTGTTATATACCCACTATATATACGTAATACGTAGTACTACGTAATATTGCTTAAAAATTAGTTGGACATACTCATTTTAAGCTAATTTAATTACGTAGGTAATTATTGGATTTAATGATAATTATATGTTTATAATCTCTTAATTCATCAACCATTGGCTGGTTGATTAACCACTTATAAAGTGATTATTCTAAGAGGCATATTATTCTGATATGAAAAGGAAATTAGTGGTACATATATGATTAACTTTACATTCTTTTAATTGCTTTAGTTTTGAACGTATTGCCTTGTCATATTGTGCATGCAAAAGTATTTTATACTTACAAGATTTGTTAAAATAATGTACTCTCTTAATAACATCTGATTTGCATTGTCTCATGTCCTAGGACATTTTATTGATTAAGAAGTGCGTTTAAATTAATAATGTTGCCAATCGTATCTCACTGTGTAAGAATGGCCTGGGGGAGGCTTCAAAGAATCAAATGATTTTGTGACCGTTACTATTTTTATAGATCTAGTGTGTGTTTTTCTGGACAATATCTCAGATTGTTACTTTGATTATATGGTTGTGTTTAGGTTGTAAGATAAATTAGCACGATTGATTTTTTAACACAAACTATAGTGCATCGTGTTTTAAAAAAAAAAAAAACAAAAACATGTTAGGATAACTTATTTGTTAAAGGGTCAATTCAACCAAATTTTTAACATGAGGTTGAGGTCCAAGAATAGGTTTAATACTCAATCACAACTCCACACATAAGACCCCATGGGCCGTGGTGTTTGAAATGTGGATGTAGCATGGGTCTCCTTATACTTGATCAACGCTAAATATTCCACTTGAAAGGAGGGGTGGATAAGATCCATGACCTCTTGTCACGCTAATTCTGACGCTGTGTTAGAGGTTCAACTCAATAAAAAGTTTAAGCGATGGCTAAGATTACAGATATGTTTTATACTCTATCATTACTTAATTACTTATATTTCAATTGTCTAGATAGGTTGAATCCACTAACTTATGACACATAAACTTTCTTAAAATCGTGATACAAGCTAATAATTATTGGTCCATAATTCAAACAATCAATTGTGTAAGTATCATAGGCAATACTTCGTCCCTGTTTTCTTCTAATTGGATGATTTGGTATGTTTTCAAGATTTATATGGGGTGACACATAAAGCATATACTTTTTCAGAATTTTTTTTTTAATATAAAATTAGAGATTTCTTGGCCAATTGACCAAATTGGTAAAGAAAAAATACCCCTCACGACAATTTGGTAAAAAAAAATCACTTCGGCGACAATTTGGTAAAAAAAGTTAATATTATGTGACAATTTGGTAAAAAAAATAAAGTCAGGCGACATTTAGACCAAAAAAATCTGTTTTTTTTTTCCGACAACTCTTCATTTATCATCCCATAAAG